ACACAGACACACACACACACACACACACACACACGCGGTTGTTCCTTCCTTCCCCCCACCCCAAATTGTTCATAATTTGTTTTGTTGTGGGTACTAAAATCCTACATGCTATTCTTTACGGATAGTCTCCTGTGGTTACTGTTCTTTTCCACAAGGCTCTTAAGGGTTGAGAAGTCCATTATTAAGGGAAAAAAAAAGTAAACTTTGTTTTGAACTCTACTCTCCCTTATTTTTAGCTGGCCTGTTTCTTACCCAGTTCAAGGCTGTGTTCCCTTGCTGGGTTGTCCTATGACAGATTGCAAACCGCCCCCACCCCCACCGGTGGGAAAAGGAATCATTTAGAGATCATACAGAACTAGAAGAACCCTTAGGATAATGTGTTCTTAACCTGGAGTATGGTTAAGTGCTCGACTACTAGCTGACAGGTTGGTGGTTCATACTCACTCAGACACCTTGGAAGACAGACCTGGTGATCACCTTCTGAGAGATCACCTTTGGAGCAGCTCTACTTTGCAACACATGGGGTTGCCATGAGTTGTAATCAACTTGACAGCAACTAACAATAACAACCTGTAGTAGATCTTTAAAATTATAGGTAAAATGTTGTGTGTCTGCATTTTTCTAAGGAAGGGTATTTTAGCTTTCACAACATTGTCAAGTGTTTCTTGGCTTCCAAAAGGTTAGAAACCATTGAGTTCAGCTTATCTCACAGAAGAACAACTGAAATTTAGAGAGTGGGAAATAGACTTAACTGGTCCAAGGTCACATGGTTATACAAAGTTTAGACTTGGATCCAGATCTCCTGACTCTACAGCTTTTCCTCATTATACCTTATCATTTGTGGAGTGAGGTCTAAATAAAATGTGAGTGTGGTTTATACTACACAAATCAGTCTTGTGTTTACTACCATAGCTCCTTCTTCCCAGAATCCTAAATTCCTTTGTGACAGATTTTCAGGAGCAACTATGTATTTCCCTCTCTGAAAACACATATTTAGTGTGAAAGTGATTTCTGGAAACCTTTCTCCCTCAGAGGATTAAGTTTTCTGGATAAAACTTCAGCTTGGAACTTGGCCACAGATAAGCTGACTCTTCTTAAACTAGTCATTCAGTTTTTTTGTGCCTGCCTTTTCCTAGACATAAAAGCCGTTAGTAGATCCTCTCTTTCTTAGGCTAGTGCCAAAAAGCTAATGTTGGTCTGTCAGGTAACTCTTTAGACCTGTGCTGTCTGATGTCATAGTTACTAGCCATATGCGGCTGTTCAAATTCAAATTAATTACAGTTAAATAAAATTAACTCAGTTCTTCAGTTACTCTAGCCATATTTCAAGTGTTCAATAGCCATATGTGGCTAGTGGCTGCCATATTGAGAGGCACAGGTATAGAACATTTCCATGATCACAGAAAGTTTATTGAATATCCTTGGTTTAGAGGGTTGCCAGGTGAGGTAGGTAGCAGTGTCGTGTAATGAAAGAAGGCCCAGAGAGTTGAATTTTTGAGTCAAAAAATCGATGTCTTTTCAGTTCCTGTTGGGGCCTGGTGCCTTGGGCAGGTCATTAAGCATCTCAGCCACAGATTATTCATCTTTAAATAATGAACCATTTTATTTGTGTAACACCTGACTATCCTCAAGTAGAGTTAGATCTAGTGTATTCTTTGCATGTTATCACTGTAAATCTGTGGTAAAGTGGGTGAGACTTTTCTTCTTATAAGTAAAAGAGAGAACTGAACCTAAAGCAGCTAATGGACCTGCCCCAAATCACTCATGCTGGCAGAATATAAAGACATCTCTTACACGTAGACACTACATGCTTGAATCAATAACTGAATGAATCAATTCAAGCAGTTTGCTTACCCGTTGCTGTCGAGTCAATTCCGACTCATAGCAACCTTATAGGATAGAGTAGAACTACTCCATCGAGTTTCCAAGGAGCGCCTGGTGGATTCAAACTGCCGACCTTTTGGTTAGCAGCCGTAGCACTTAACCACTTTGCCACCAGGGTTTCTGCAGTTTGCTTAGGGTGATGAAATATATGAAGAAGGGGTCAAAACTTCTGACTTCTAGACAAGTATTCTTTTTACCTGTTATCATGGAATACTTGTGATGTGGAGCTAATAAATCTCTCAGTTGAAGGATTGCTGTGAGTATCCAGTGAGGGAATATAAATGAAAAGGCTGTCTAAGCTGGTTGTCCCAAATTTGCCTGGTCAAAAGAATCTCCTAGGGCACTTACTAGCATACAGATTTCCATGTCCTCTAGAGATTCTGAGTCAGAAGGGCTGAAGTGGAGCCCTGGAATCTATATGTCTAAGAAATACCTCGGGTTCTTCTTAAGATCCTCTGAGTTTGGGAAATGGCTAAGCCTTAAGACCTGGCAGAGGTTAAGAGATTGGTTGATCAGGAGGTTGCTGCCCCTTTTAGGGTAGATTCCTGAAACTATGTTTGACTTTCCTCTCCTCTAGCCATGGATGCATCATATGATGGTACTGAGGTAACTGTCGTGATGGAGGAAATTGAGGAAGCCTACTGTTATACCTCCCCTGGGCCACCCAAGAAGAAGAAAAAGTATAAAATACATGGAGAAAAGGCCAAGAAACCCAGGTTAGTTAACACTTTCTGGTTACTGTTAGCATTTAAAAACGCTGAGAGGTAGTCAGGGATGCTCATAAGCAGAAGTTGCTGAGGAGGATTTTTCAGACTGCTTTCAGATCTGTTGAGAGAGAGCGTCACGTCGATTGTTGAAGTCTCAGGACTGGTGGGGAGGGGAAAGTGGCTGAATTTATGCCAGCCTTTGCCATTCCTGGCCAGGCCTTGGTCGTATTTCTAGGCTGTCATAGAAAATTGTACCACACAGATGGTAGAAGCTACATACAAAAGAACTGCATTATTTATTATTACCATTGTTGTTTAAATATTTAAAATAGGACATTGATAAAATTATGGAATTACAACTAGTGCCAATGATATCTATAGAGAATATCCACATTGTAGCTTTAATCCCCCACTGATCTGTGAACACTCCAAACTTCTTGCTAAGGCTACCAGCATCGGGTCACTTTGATGGTTCTACTTTCTTTCCTCTCCTGTCCTGGGGAAGGTGCTGTTGACCAGTGAGATGACCAAAGGCTGTGTAGAGGAGTAAAGAGTGAGTGATAACCATCCTGTGCAACCTTTCCCTGACAGTGGAGTGACAGGACGCATGTATCTTTCTTTGTATATATTGGGTTTTAAAAACCAGTCATTCCCACAGAAAGGGTGGTCTATGGAAAAGCAAACCAAACAAACCTTTGCTTCCAGGTTTCTGAAGAGAACAGCCACTCACTGTCTTTACCATTCATTTTGCCCTCCTCCCATACATCTTCTGAGAGTGTTATTTAAGTGTTTTTTTGCTTGATTTCAGTTCCTAGTTAGATGCTTTGAAGTGAGAAGCTGGGTTTTGTATCTAGCTCTTCACAACCAGGAGCCCTGGTGATGCAGTGGTTAAGAGCTTGGCTGCTAACCAAAAGGTCGGAAGTTCAAATCCACCAGCCGCTCCTTGGAAACCCTATGGGGCAGTTCTGCTCTATCCTGTAGGGTTGCTGTGAGTTGGAATCAATTCGACAGCAACGGGTTTGGTTTTTGTCTTAGTCATCTAATGCTGCTATAACAGAAATACCACAAGTGGATGCCTTTAACAAAGAGAAATTTATTTTCTCACAGTCGCGTAGGCTAGAAGTCCACATTCAGGGTGTCAGCTCCAGGGGAAGGCTTTCTTCCTCTGTCAGTTCTGGTGGAAGATCCTTCTCGTCAGTCTTCCCTTGGACTAGGAGCTTCTCTGCACAGGAACCCCCGGTCCAAAGGATATGCTCTGCTCCCGGTGTTTCTTTCTTGGTGGTATGAGGTTCCCAACTCTCTGCTCGCTTCCCTTTCCTTTTATCTCTTGTAAGATAAAAGTTGGTGCAGGGCACACCCCTGGGAAACTCCGTTTACATTGGATCAGGGATGTGACCTTAATAAGGGTGTTAGAATCCCACGCTAATCCTCTTTAACATAAAATTACAATCACAAAATGGAGGACAGCCACACAATACTGGGAATCATGGCCCAGCCAAATTGATACACACATTTTGGGGGGGGGACGTAATTCAATCCATGACAGTTTTTTTGTTTTTTTTCCACAACCCAAAGTCTAACACTGTAGTGCTTACTGATTGAATGAGGGAAATCCTTAAGAAGTCATTGCTTCCTCAGGTCTGCTTACCTCCTGTACTATTATGACATCTACCTGAAAGTGCAGCAGGAGCTTCCCCATCTCCCTCAGTCTGAGATCAATAAGAAGATTAGTGAGAGCTGGAGGCTTCTCAGTGTGGCGGAAAGGAGTTACTACTTGGAGAAAGCCAAACTAGAGAAAGAAGGTTTGGATCCTGTAAGTAATTTTTTTTCTCCACTAATTTCTCTGTTGATTTACTGCTGAAGGCCTTGGGGAGACCAATCTCCTATTCTCCTGTTTCTGTTTCTTTCCATAGGAAAACTTTGGGTTGAGTCATTTTGTTTTTCTTAAGTGTGATATGGTCTGTTTCCATGTCAGTGATGCCCTGCACTCTCTGGTCTTGCTTGGCTGCAGCAGTACCTGGAGTTGACATTTCTGATGGTTGTTTGCAGTGAGCCTTAGTTTCCTTTTCTGATCTGTGCATAAGCTGGGATCCTTTATCCTTGTAGGTAGCTAGTATTTAATATTTTATCCTATATAGGCATTTCTCCTACACCATGAGTTTTCATAGCACAAGTTAAATGTAATATAGTTGATTTGTATTCTATGGACTGCTATCAGTTATGACATAATCAGGAATTATAGGCTTGCATGTTTAGATGATAATACAGATGATACTGCTGCATTGTGAAGTATCCCATTCTTTTGTTACCACTGGTGGTTGGTAAACTACACTAGAAGCAAAAATGCAAGGTCAAGGCCCAAGATGATAGAGGAGATCAAGGCTTTTTTAAGCCTTGAATTAAAGAACAAACAAGGAAGCATTTAGGTTTGTGTTTGTCAGCCATTTTGTTATTTCTGGTTCACAGTAACAAAATGCACTGACAATTACTAAGACTGCATTTTTTTAAAGTGAAATTTCTGCAGGAAACGGAACCGTGTTATTGCAGGCTGAAATCTTTTAACCTCAACCCATTTTTTCAATTGAACAGTTGTCTCTACTTTTTTGATAATGCAGAGCAGAGGTTTTTCAGGAATGCAACAGCTATTTTACAGCAGAAAAGGCTGTGTTCGCCCCTACTGGAGCCCATCTGTCATACCATTTAGGTTATTTTGTCCTTATTGGCTTGGCATTCCTCTTCCCGCAAGAACTTTGTGTTACCTATATCCTCAGAGATTCCACTCTGTATTCCCTCTCTAGATGGTTTGTTTATAAACAATGAGTCTGGGAAACAATTCCTGTGGCAGAAAGAAGGTAGTCTAGGAAAAGTATACATACTCCTTTTGCTTTTCCCATTATAAAGTCAGCAGTATCTCATCTGCAATGATTCTTCCTTATCCATATACTTATTTATGTCTAACAGTATCTCTGCCACTACCACCCAGAGCATGAATAGATGCACTCTGATAGTAACTAGCTAAGTGACATTGGCAGAATCACTTAACCTTTGAGCCTTGGTTTCCTTATCTGTAAGATGGGGATAATAGTATCTACTCATAATATTTAAAATAGCTAATGTAAAACACCTAGCTGAGTTCTTGGCATATACTTCCTTGGTCCATGAATGTCAACCTTTAATAGATTAAATATCCAGTGACCATGTGGTAAGAAAAGTTAACATTTATTGAGCACCTGCAATGTATCAAGCCTGAGCGAAGCTTTATGTGCTGTGTTTGGCCTCTCCCAGATTTGCCTGGTGTGAAGGTGAGACACTTCTGCCTGCATGCCTTGGGAGCCCATCAGAGCCCTGAGGCAGGCTTTCTCAACAGTTCTGCAGGTTTCCTGCCAAAATGGCAGGCCTGTGCATTCTTCCAGACCATTCTGGTTTGTATGTACTTGGATTTGTTGATTAAGTCCAGAATGTCCTATGGACTTATAGCATTTAGTCTTGTTTTCCTGACCTGTCTGCTTCAAAGGGTGACTTAAGAATGTTGTTTTGCCATCTCCTCTTCCATAAAGGCTTTGTAAAGGATTCAGTCTCTCTGCTCTCATGTTTCACTTAAGTGCTTCTTTTAACTTTTCGTTTCTGAGTGCTTTCTTTGTGCTGTAAGTAATCTTATTGACTTCTTGCTTTTGATTCATTTAATGATTCTTTTGTAATTGACTTCAGTGTTCTTTTTAAAGATGTTTCTGAAATTATTTTTTGTTCCATTTAATTTTAGTTCTCACTTAACTGTTCTCTTTGAACTTCTATATTCCTTATCAGGTAATTTTCTCTTTACAAAACAAAAACACCTTTTTGTTCTCATGCCTGAACTCCCTTTGTTGTCCCAGTCAGCCATGTAGGGTTATACTTCTAGTACCTGGTCTCCTTGATCCTTAGAAAACCTGGCCTGCAGTCCCAGCTTGGCCACTTAACTAAGTTTGTTTTTGGGAAAGTCATTTTATGTCCCTGAGCTTCAGCCTCAATTTCCTTATTTGTTTTAAATACCCATTGCCGTTGAGTTGATTCTGACTCAATAGGACCCAACTTAATAGTTTTGTTTTTTAAGGTAAAATAAGATCATGGATTTGAAAGCATTTTCTGAACCTTACAGTCCTGTTGTTGTTGCTAGGTGTTGTCAAGTCGGTTCTGACTCACAGCGACCCCGTGTACAATGGAACGAAGCACTGCCTGGTCCTGTGCCATTCTCATAATTGTTGTTATGCTTGAGCCCGTTGTTGCAGCCACTGTGTCAGTCCATCTCATTGAGGGTCTTCATTGAGGTCCTAGGTCATTGTTAATATTCATATTTTCTTCCCTGATATATTCAGGCCCTTATCCGATAAACTCTCTCTTATACATGCACTCTCACAAAATCTTTGTGATCTGTTCATTGACTTCCGTGTAAGTCTGGAAGAAACCAGTGATGCCAAGATTCTTGCTTGCTGTATTGAGTTTTGCCTCGGCCTGTTGATTTTTGTGCTTTTTGTGATTTTAATTGAGCATTATACCTTCTAATGTTTCAGTCTTCTGCTACTTTGGAATCCTGAAGTATCAGAGCTGGACAGGAACTCATAAATAGCCAGATTCAACCCTCTTGTTTTATAGATGGGGCAGCTGAGCCCTAAAGAGGAGAAAGGATTTGCTCAAGACTGCCGCACCTGGGGTTCCAGCTCAGGGTTTCAGATGCCAAAATCAGTTCCCTTTCCAGAGTCCAGTCCTTGTTTTCTACTTCCTGTGTGATTGAGCAAGTAAACTACATTGCCTACAGTGTGATTCAAGTCAAGATGACATTGTTGTTTTCAGAGATTGACCCTGTCTCAGTCTTTGGTCAAGAGAGTAGAGCCTTTCTGCAGGAAAAAAAAAAAAATGGTCTTATAAATATATATCCATGTGGTCTTAGTCCATGTCTGTCTGCTTGTTTCCCCCTTCTTGGCTTTCTCATCCTTAGAACTCCAAGCTGTCTACACTGACTGCTGTGGTTCCGGACATCCCAGGCTTCCGCAAGATCCTCCCCCGGTCAGATTACATCATCATCCCCAAGAGCAGTCTGCAGGAAGACCGGAGCTGCCCTCAGCTGGAGCTGTGTGTGGCCCAGAACCAGATGTCCTCTAAAGGAACGCCTCTTGTGTCCAACACTGCCCCAGAGACAGTGCCCAGCCATGCAGGCATGGCAGAGCAGTGCCTGGCTGTGGAGGCCCTGGCTGAAGAGGTGGGAGCCCTTGCCCAGCCAGGTGCTGTACAGGAGATCGCCACCTCGGAGATCCTCAGCCAGGATGTGCTTCTGGAGGAAGCTTCCCTGGAGGTAAGAGAGAGCCACCAACCTTACCAGACAAGCCTGGTGATTGAAGAAACTTTAGTGAATGGCTCACCAGACCTCCCCACCAGAAGCCTGGCTGTGCCCCAACCCCCGGTTGGGGAGAGCGTGTCCGTGGTAACAGTCATGAGGGTAAGTGACTTTGGTACTGATGTCTTGTTTTTATCTGGATTACTAAAAAGGTGGCTACCACCATGCACTGTGATTCGGGAGCAGTGCTAACAGAGAGGGCTAGTGTGCCACTTCTAGTGGGACTGCAGTCCTCTAGAGCCTTTTTGCCCCGGACTTATTCCAGAGTCCTCTTCAGTTTCTCAGGTACTCTCACCAACTCCTTCTCGCCCAGTTTAGCCAGAACTTTCTTCACATGAGGTGGCATATAAGGTACATTAGCAGGAGAAGGAAAATGGTATTTGGGCGATCCATGAGTCAAAGCCAAGATCTTTCAGACTGTTAGCATCAGTCAGGGTTTATTTTTCCTGGAGACTATTTCAAGAAATACAGTGGCAGTTTGAACTATATACAGGAATTTTCAAAAGGTCTTGGGCACAGAGTGGGTAGGAGGAAGGACGTTCTCTTCAAGGCCAGATTGATAGGACTAATATCTGAGAAAGAGGAGACCAGTGTCCAGTGGCTAAGCCTCATGGCCAGTTGAGGCGAAATTTCAGTGATCCCACACTCTAGTTCCGCAGGTCCTCCCTGGGGGAGCTGCCACCATGCCCTAGTGTGTAACTTCACCTCTGTTACCCTGGGTAGGATGGCATCCTCTGAGAGGTGAAAGAACCAGCATTGTAGCCCCTGTGGCCTGGAGGGGTTAGAAAAGTTATCCCTGCCTTCTTTTCTTTTATTGTTTGTTGGTTCAGTTGATGCTATAAAGCATGCCACTGGCCTGGTTAAGGCAGATTGATAGGGCACTAAGAGCATCTGACAGGGTCAGAAGAATTGGGTTCTTTCGTTAACTGTTTATGTGATCTTCTTAAGTCTTGTAGAACCTCAGTTTTCTCATCAGTAAAATGGTAGTACCTCCCTTGTGGTCGTGGTACTCTCTGTTTTCTTGAGTAAACATTTTATTTTGAGATAATTATAGACTCATTTCTCTATCTTTTCATAAGCACATTCGATAAACACGTTGTGTATGTGGTTATTGGACTTGATCCAGCTTCCAGTGTTATGGGTGGCCCTGGGTGTTCTTTACTCCATTTCAGTGAAACTTGTTTCTCTCTGTGTACCCACAGGACTCCGGTGAGAATAGCTCATCTGCGCCAGCCACACAGTTCATCATGTTGCCTCTGCCTGCCTACCCAGTTGTGGAGAACCCCACCTCCATCAAACTGGTCAGTGTGTGGGGAGTTGATGGCAGTTAGGGCTCTGCAAGAATTCTCTTCCAAGTAGTTTTCTAAAAGTCTTAGAACCTTAGGACACTAGGACTAGCAGTGGTCTCAGGGATTATCTGGTCCAGGTGTTTTTAACTGGGAATCTGTGGATGGGGTGCCACAGGAGCCATTAACTCTCTTCAGATTACAGTATAACCTGTGAAAGGCAGAAACCTGTCAGAGAAGGAAAAGTCAAATATTTTCCGCTAAAAGGAGAGAGAGAAAAGTGGTAAAACTGCACCCTGTCAAAGGCGGAAAGCTTGCGAGACCTGGGAAAACAAGGAAGTCCTGTTGAGTTCTGGCTCTCACAGGTTTCACTGTATATGCTCACTTTTCTGCATTTTTCTGGGGTAGATATTAGGGCTTTTACCAGATTTTCAGAAGAGTACATGATTTAGAAAAATTGAGAAGCCACATACTGAATTCAATCCTGTTTTATTGAACAGATTAGGAAAAAGGCCCTGGGACGAGAACGAACTTGTTCAGGTCCCTAGACTGCAAAACACTCCAGCCCTGGTCGCTTGATTCTCAGTTGGTATTTTTTCCATCACACACTGCAGCACCTGGGCTCAGATTTATCCCTCAGTATTTTGTATTTTTTGATGGTATAATAAATGATACTTAATTTTAAAAAACTTTTAACTGTTCATTGCTAGTATGTAGTAATATAGTTGATTTATTTGCTGTGTTGATCTGTATCCTGCAACTTTGCTAAACTCACTTATTAGTTCTGGGAGACTTTCTTATTTTGAGTATTGTGTTTCAGGTGAAAGTTTACACAGCAAATTAGATTCCCGTTCAATTCGTACACCTCAGCACTCTCACCATTTCCACTCCATCTGCCCTGTTTCCATCCATCCAGTTTCCCTGCTCCATCTTGCCTTCTCATCTTTGCTTTTGGGTAAATGTTGACTGGTCTCATATGGTTGATTATTTAAAGGAGCACATTCCTCATGAGTGTTACTGTTTATTTTATAGGCCAATCTATTGCTTGGCTGAAAGGAGTGACTTCGGTTCTAGGTTAAAAGGGTACCTTAGGGCAATAGTCTTGAGGGTTCCTCTAGTCTCTACCAGTTCAGTAAGTCTGTTTTTTTTTTTTTAATGAATTTGGGTTTTGTTCTACATTTTTCTCCCTATTGTGTCTGTAATCAGAACAGTTGGTGGTGGTAGCCAGGTACCATCTAGTTTTTCTGGTCTCAGGCTGGAAGAGGCTGTGGTTTGAGTGGGCCATTAGTCCTGTGGACTAATTACTTCCTTGAGACTTTGGTTTTCTTCACTCTCTTTTGCTCCAGACAGGAAGAGACTAATAGTTGTATCTTAGATGCCCACTTGCGAGCTTTTAAGACCTTAGACACTACTCACCAAAGTAGGATGTAGAACATTATCTTTATGAATTAAATGATGCCGGTTGACCTAGTTGTCCCACAAGGCTGTGGTCCTGAGCCTTCAAACCCAGTAAATCAGTTCCACAAGGTGTTTAGATACGTCTAGGAAGTTTCCTTAACTGTGACCCCCCACCCCCACCCCATGTGTTTCATTGTTTATATGAATATATGTGCAGCACATACAAACATGTATATACATATGTCCACAAATATACCTTTACATGCACATGTGTGTACTCCCATACACCTTCCCACACCCGTTTAGCCTACATATCTACCTGTCTAACCACTTATGTATTTTTTGCTTGTTATTTCTGTTGTTGCAAGATAGTATATATTGTAGCATTTACCATAGTTGTCCTTTATTTTTGTGTACCACTCAGTGTCTTCATTTACCTTGGTCACGTTGTAGTGACTTCGCCCATATTGTGTATTGCCTTTCTCATCACCAGAATTATTACATATCTCCTATCTAGTAAGTGATTCCCCCTTCCTCCCCCTCACATCTCTGGTAACCATCAAAGAACACTGTTTTCTGTGTATATACCTATTCTTGACTTTTTATAAAAGTGGTATCATGCAATATTTGTCCTTTAGTGTTTGACTTATTTCACTCAGCATAATGTTCTCCAGATTCATCCATGTTTTAAGATATTTTTTGGACTCCTCATTATTCTTTATCATTGTGTAGTATCCCATCATGTGTATGTACCACAGTTTGTTTATCCGTTCATCCCTTGATGGGCACTTAGGTTGTTTCCATCTTTTGCTATTGTGAGTAATGCTACAGTGAACATGGGTGTGCATATGTCTATTTGTGTCACTGCTCTTCTATTTCTAGGATATATAACTAGGAGTGGAATTGCTGGATCATAAGGTATTTCTATTTCTAGCTTTTTGAGGAAGCGCCATACTGTTTTCCCTAGTGGTTGTACCATTTTACAATCCCACCAGGTGTGTGTAACGGTTCCAATCTCCCCACAACCTCACCAGCATTTGTTGTTTTCTTTTTTTGATCATTTCCATTTTTGCAGCGGTGAGATGCTATCTCATTGTAGTTTTGATTTGCCTCTCTCTAATGGCTAATGCTGAGGAGCATCACTTCATGTGTTTGTTAGCCACTTGAATGTCCTGTTTGGTGAAGTGTCTGTTCATGTCCTTTGCCCATTTTTTGATTGGATTGTCTTTTTGTTGTTAAGTTGTTGAAGTTTTCTGTATATTTTAGAGATTATACCCTTGTCAGATATGTCATTGCCAAAAAATTTTTTCCAGTTGTAGGTTCTCTTTTTACTCTTGGTAAAGTCTTTGGACGAGCATAAGTATTTAATTCTTAAGAGGTCCCAGTTATCTAGTTTATCTTCTGTTTCTTGTGCATTTTTAGTTGTGTTTGATAGTGTAGGTATGCCAAAAATTAAGATCCCTAGCTTTGTCACTGTGTTATCTTCCAGAAACTTTACAGCTTTAGCTTTAACATTTAGGTCTTTGATCCATTTTGAGTTAGTTTTTGTGTATGGTGTGAGGTATGGATCCTGTTTCATTTTTCTGCAAATGGATATCTAGTTTTGCCAGCACCATTTGTTAAAGAGACCATTTCTTCCTTGTTAAATGTGACTTCGGCCCTTTGTCGAAGATCTGCTGTCCAAAGATGGATGGATTTAAATGGTGTATCTTTGGCTATGTATGTTTCCACCAAAAAAAAAAAAGGTCGAGAAGGGAGAGGGTTGATATGTTGTGGGGTTGTTAACCAATGTCATAAAACAATATGTGTACTACTGTTTCATGAGAAACTATTTGTTCTGTAAGCTTTCACCTGAAGTACAATAAAAAAAAAAAAAAGGATGGATTTACTTCTGGGTTCTCAGTTTTGTTCCATTGGTCATGTGTCTTTCATTGTACCAGTACCAGGCTATTTTGATTACAATGGCTGTGTAGTAAAGCTGAGATCGAGAAGTGTGAGGCCTCCTACTTTGTTATTCTTCAATATTGCTTTAGCTATTCGGAGCCTCTTTCGTTTCCATATAAAGCTGGAGATTATTTTTTCATTTTGTTAAAGAATATTGTCAGGATTTCGATCGGGATTGCATTGTATTTATAGATTGCTTTGGGTAGTATTGACGTTTTCACAATGTTAAGTCTTCCAGTCTGTGAGCATGGAATGCTTTTCCATTTATGTTGTTCTCTTTTGGTGTCTTGTAGTAGTGTTTTGTAGTTTTCGTTGTATATGTCTTTTACATACTTGGTTAGATTTATTCCTAGGTAATTTATCCTATTGGGGGCTATTGTAAATGGTATTGTTTCCTTGATTTCCTTTTTGGAGTTCTCCTTATTAGTGTTGAGGAACCCAACTGATTTTTGTATGTTCATCTTGTACCTTGTTGCTTTGCTGAACCCTTTTGTTAGTCCCGGTAACTTTCTTGTGAAATCTCTGGTATTCTCTATGTATAGGATCATGCCATCTGTGAACAGGGATAGTTTTACTTATTCCTTACCAATTTGGATACCCTTTATTTCCCTTTCTTGCGTTATTGCTCTGGCTAGGACTTCCAGCACAATACTGCATAAGAGGGGTGATAATGAGCATCCTTATCTTGTTCCTATTCTCAAGGGGAATACTTTCAGTCTCTCTCCTTTGAGAATAATGTTGGCTGTAGGTTTTATATATGTGCCCTTAAATTACGTTGAGGAATTTCCCTTCTGTGTCTATTTTGCTGAGAGTTTTTATCAGCAAAGGGTGTTAGATTTTATCAGAGACTTTTTCCGCATCAACTGAGATGATCATGTGATTCTTTTATTTATGTGGCGAATTACGTTGATTGGTTTTCTAATGCTGAACCACTTTTCCATCCCTGGTATGAATCCCACCTGATCATGATGTATTATTTTTTTGACAGGGTGTTGTATTCTGTTGGCTAGAATTTTGTTGAGAATTTTTGCATCTATATTCGTGAGAAATACTGGTCTGTAAATTTTCTTTTTTTGTAGTATCTTTGCCTGGCTTTGGTATCAGGGTTATGCTGGCTTTATAGAATGAATTAGGGAGTATTCTCTCCCTTTTTTTTATGAACTGGAATAGTTTGAGTAGAATTGGTATCAACTCTTCTCTGATCTGGTAGACTTTTTGTAGATTCTATTGGATTTTCTACATAGATGATCATGTTATCTGCAAATAAAGACAGTTTTACTTTTTCTTTTCCAATCTGGATTCCTTTTCTTTCTTTTTCTTGCTTTATTAAACTGTCTTGGACCTCCAATACAGTATTGAATAGAAGTGGTGAGAGCAGACATCTTTGTCTTGTTCCTTATCTTAGGAGGAAAGCATTAGTCTTTTGCCATTAAGTGTGATGTTAGCTGTAGTTTTCCATAGATGCCCTTTACAGATTTAGGAAGTTCCCTTTTTCCTAGTTTGCTGGGAGTTTTTATCAAGAATGGTTGTTGGATTTCGTTAAATGCTTTTCTGGTGTCTATTGAGATGATCGTAAGGTTTTTCTTTTTTAGCTTGTTTATATGGTGAATTTTACTGTTTTTCAAATGTTAAATTGTTTTTATTTTTTCCCATACAAAAATTTATACATACAT